ACAAATGGCTCGAGTTTAAAAATCTGAACTTCAACGGACATTCGCGCCACGTTAACCAATCAGGAGCTTGCTCTTGTGGGGGCATGATTATAACGTAACGCCTGTTTTTGGTGTCCCCGGGGAAAATCCTTCTGCCTACACCGATAGCAGTTCATCAAACTGGACTCGGCTCAGTCAGAAGTACCCCTGAAAGCTTTCATCATCCATGTTAAATTTCTGGAGGAATTTATGAGCTCATAGAGCTGGGTGCACCTCTGAAAGGATCTAGTGGACTCAGAACCGGCTCTAAACGAATTGACAGTGTTTATCAACCTTCATAAAGCACAAACAATGTTATTTTCTCAATCAAATACTTGTTAGCCATTTAGCAACCATAACGTAAATCCGCGTTTATTCTGAAGTGAATTTGACACGTGAAAGAATCGGAATTGACGCACCAATAAAGCGAGTAAACTCAAAATGTTTAAGCATCTATTTAAGTGTGAATAGTGCGATTTATCCACGTGTTCCACATCTGGTGCAAACACAGCATTAGACTTCCAGGAACAGGACTGGTGACCCCTGTTCTAAGGAAAGTCAAAGCAACAATGGCTTGGACAAAACGGGGGGCTTTTCGTTTGCATTTATCGTCAGCGTTTTTTGAGACACTTTTCCGGATTCAAACCCGAGCAATTTTCACTGGCGTCGAGCAGAAGATTATGCAAAATCACTCCTTGACATTAGATGGCGCTACACATTTTCAAGCTTCTGACACCCGCTTGTAACACAGAAGAAGAAGACAGAAAGTTGACACGCTTGTTAATAAAGTTATTGGCGATTCGAAGAAGCATAGATGGTTCAAGTAGCAGCTCCAGCTCTTGCAGTAAAGAAATTATTATTGTTCACCAGTGCAATAAGCAGCTCCACGTTCATATCGCCTCTGGGCATCTTCAATATGCGATAACATTGACAGTTTTGTGCTTGAGCACCTTCAAGTGCTGTTTACTGTAACTTCAGCCGCTGCATGCACGTAAACAAAAGTGCCAATCTGATTGGTGGAAAAGGTTTTGACGCGGCACGTCAAAACAAAAGAAAAAAAAAACAAGCATGAGGCGCTTCTTTAAAAATTACGCTTTTACGCCTAGTGTTTTGCTACTTAGTATGCACGATCACATTATCACCCTTTATTTAGTCACGAGGAGTTAAACGTCGACGGAAAATGGAAGAAAAAAAGGGTGCACGGGCCTTAACTCTGTTATTGTCACAGATGGTGAATCTCATACTTCAGGCAGAAACTGCCTCTATGCAGTGCTAAGGTTAGTGAGCTCACTCTAAAGTTAATTGCCACTATAGCAAAAAGAGTTAAATGTAAGTGAATCTAATTTTAATCTGTAGTGCATGAACAGTGCTGATCCTGAAAGATTCCAAAGGTTCTTTTTGAATTGTGATCTGTAAACTGCAGGCATCTTACTCTGCAAAAACTTACTTCAGGGATCCATGACCTGCCTTGCAAGAATATGAAGAATTCCATATATAAATTTATTTATTATCATCTTCTCATTTTTTTTTCAGCCATGAAAGTTTCCATGAACATGTAATATTATCTGACTGCACTAAACTTTTCCAAGGTCTTATAGGCCTATGTTATGGCGAAATAAACCCAAGGCCCTTTAAAGGGTATTCAAATTGATAACAGCACATCTTTATCTAATCGAATGTGTGGTGGAATGAAACAGTTTAAGTGCATATTAATGAAAAAAACATGATGTGGAAGTTACCTCACAGCAGCTCTACTGACAGTGATTTGCACTAGTGGTATTTTACTGCGCTAGTACAGTGTTTGTCAACCCTGTACACAAAGGCACACCAACGGTACACATTTTCAACATCTGCCTAATCAAACACACCTCAATCAACTCATCAGAACAAAAGGCTCCTAAACTTGAAATGAATGGGTCAGATAAGGGAGACATCTAAAATATGCAATGCCTATGTGCCTCCAGGAACAGGGTTGGGAAACTGCGCTAGTGTATATCGGTCCACTTGAATGCACCTCATCGAGAGGTATTCCTTCTGTGTTCAAATATGTATAAAGAATCTCCTGAAATTTAAGGTTTTTACACTGAAAGCTGTCTAAAAATTTTTTTTTTTTTTTGTCTGAGTTAGCAACATTAAGGTGAGGTGGACTTGCCAAAATCAATTGTTGTTTTAAAGGAGCTGTATGTAAGTTTTTGATTCTTCTAAAGCATAAAAATACCATAATATGTTTGAAGATAACATGCCAAGTGAACATTCTTGTTTATCTGAAAAACAATGCTGAAGTCAGATACTCTGCTTTGAAAATGTGCATTACATGCAGGAACATCTGTCTTTGTTTTAATCATTTATCCCGCCCACTGCCAGTTTAGCCAATTATATTTCAGCACACCAGGTTGCCTTGGTGGAAAACAGCGTATTTCATTCAATCAGTCAGAAAGGCTCTCAAAGTATGTGTCCGAGACCAAAATGCAACCTCCAGTGGACAGTAGCAGACTCTAAAATGAGATGCAGATTCAGAGTTCCGCATGTGGTGGTTATTAATTAGCAAATAATATCAATATTGCAAATGTAAACATTAGGTAAGCAGGTTACATTGCAACTTTATGTCCTAACAACATGCTATAATACAATATTTGAGGTGATAAGCAATTTGGCTGTTTGGACCAGACAAAACACGACAGAAATGTAAATACAGCCATTCAGAAGCACAGAATAGTGCACTCACTGCACTCCAATGTGTGAATTATTCGGTGCTTCTGAATCACTGATATGTGTTGGCTGAGTCACAGTTCTACAGTTCAAGATCTGAGGTGTACTATCTGCTGCTGCTTTCAGTAATATGATAATAAATGTCATGTAAAATGGCATTCAAACTCACATTATTAGCATTTAACACTGAATAAAACACATGAGGTGCACCTGAGGTGATCATTGTCAATTTTCTTTCGTTCAGCTGCAAGAAATAAAAGCCGTTTCTAAAATATCAATTTCAGGTGTTGGTTAGAATAAAAACTACTTTTAATATGGACAATATACTTTCTATCACGTGCCGTTGCCTTTAGTTAGAACACGGTTTAAATCAGCCTTTAGGCTCGATAGTTAGGCACACTTCTGTTGACGTCGTCAATCTGGCAACCTGTGCTTGCATATGTTTTGATTCAGGAGAGTGCAATACCTAGTTCAACCAGTGGTTGTCAAACTTACAAACTACACCTTTAAAGAGCCCCCTACTATACAGGACATAGGGTCATGTCAAATAGGGTCGCCAACAACAGTCTAATTTGCATGCAAGGTCAAAAACACTTTCATTGTCTTATAATCTGCATTTATTTTTACCTAATTATGCCAGCGACTCCCATATGAATAATCAAGACATTTGTGGATTTAAAAGCAAATCTGTATTGTTTTGTTTCCAAAGGAATCATTTGAGTCACTGATTCTGAAGTCCATTTATAAAGACAGTCAGTAAACTCAGAATTCATACAGATTATTAAATGAATCGGCTATTTGAATAAATGTTTCAGTATCTCTCATGTTTTCTTTACTTCTGTCCAAAATGGCTCAAGGCAGACTAGAATAAAACCCATCCAACAAAAAACCTTTACTTATCTTTAATGATAAAAAAAGACTATAAATATTTAATAATCAGCCTTATTACTTCTTCTACTTTCCTTCTTTATAGTAGAAGTACTTTTTTTATTATTATGTAAATATCTCACACTCCTATCTGCAGTACTGTATAAAAATGAACTGATATTTTACAGTCTTCAAATCATCCAAGAAAATAAAATAATTATTGTTTTTGTTTTTCCTCTAAAGGGTTACTAACTAAGGCCAGTTGTAATTGATGTTCATATTACTGTCATTTAAATTCTGAGGATAACAAAAATCATTCTGGGAACAAATGATTGTTGAAAACAGAAACTGTGTAAAGCAGCCTAGTGCAATAAATTATTTATTATCTGTAGATGCCTTAAATGATAATCGTCAGGTATTATATATGATTGTATTCTTGTTTTGCCTAGATACTGTTTTTTAAGAGCAGCAACTTATTTATATGTTTGTATGCATTAAAGACAATTTAAGCATTCTTTGTTGTCTGACAGCTTTTATTTTAAATTTTTTTTTTTTTTTGCAGATTGTGTAAAATAGCCACTCTGTAAAAAAATGAAGACCGCCTTGCTTAAACAATCAAGCTTACACTAATTTAGACATCACGTTTATGACATTAGACAATGACAAGAAATAAACAGATATATATATATATATATATATATATATATATATATATATATATAATAGGTACCCAGGTCGGCCGCCCAAAGCGAACCTCCGCAAACTGTGATGACGTCACATTCGCCGCGCACACGCACACTCAAGCAAACTAGTCAACGAGTATAAACCAGGCTTGAGGTGCAAGTCATTGATTAGATGAGGAAAAGATTAACGCAGCGTCTCCTACTGCAGCAAATTCAGTTTTTACTGTTGATACTTGCCACCAGTTAATTGGGAAGTGACGATTCTGTTCGCTTTGACTCGTTGAATAAAACACTGCTTTATTCGCATGTCTTTTATGTGATAGTCCAGCCTGATCTCACGAGGAAATGAAAGTGTGTTACGTTTTGTCAGTTTAGCAGCTAATTTGTAATTCGGGTTCAGTCATACAAAAATGTACTATTTTAAATAAGTAGTCATGGCAACCAAACCCACCCCTAACCCCAGCCATCATTAGGTGATGAGCAAATCGTACAAAATTGTACGAATTAGATGGTACAAATTTATAGGAATTAGCCAATAAAGTGAGATTGCGTTGGATAATTCAGTTTTGCGCATTAAATTTATTTGTATTTTTGGATGGAAACATGTCATCATAATCAAATGAGAAACTCGCTGTCAAGATGAGTCAATCTATAATAAGATATTGATGAAAAACACTGCTTTATACACACGGAGAGTTAAAAAAATCCAGAACTGGACACTTATTCTTTCCCTTTATTTATTTGCACATTAGACAATTGTACATCTTGATATATTATTTTTAAACCAATGCACGGTATGTAAAATTCACTCCTTGTGTCAAAACATGCCATAAAGCTTCAGAAATAAATTAAACAGCACATCAGCCCAGTTGAGCATCTACAGACTGCTGTGTTTATAAATCTATATACATGAGTTATAACAAAATAGCCAACAAAGTGCATGAAAACTGAAATAGAAGACTCAAAGGGGGAAACTTAACACGAACAAGTGCTCCCATACTAGACGTTTGGCGTAAACGAACTGAACTCAAACACTGTGATACACATAATTTGGCTTCTGTTCCAATAATAAATAAATAAACAGTGAATCTCAAACTCAAGAGCAGATCCAGAGGCACGTGGGATAGAGATGAGGTTCATACGAGCACAGAGTACTGCTCACATTGCACAGAGACGGATTTACAGTTGAAGCAGGTACAAAAGTAAAACAGCATTTGCAGTTTGTGTCGATATGGTTTGATGCCACCGCTCAATCTACAGTCGGTGAACACTTTGCATTTTTGAAGTACAAAGTGCTACATACAGAAATTAAATGTCGGAAAAATAACATGCAAACCTTCTGCATACCTTCCTTCCCCCAAAATAAGAAAAAAAAAAAAAGTGTAAGATGGAGACTGGTGTGCATCCAGCTCTGCTATAACTGAGAATTCATAAGTGATATTAAAGGTAGCGGATGTTTCCATGCTATGCAAAACATGTTCTTGGCAATTTGTTCAGTCAAAATATCTGCTGACCTCCACATTAAGACCCTTTACTGAACCTAAAAAGTGAACAAGTCAAGGCCCCAAACACAAACAATTTATGCACGCATACACGCACACACACACACACACACACCTATGCACACTAAAACATACGTACGCACACCCATGCACGCCCGCACATACACACACGCATCTATGCACACTCACACATATGAACACAAGCGTGCACACACACACGCTCGCACATAAGGACACATCGCGCACGCACACACACACACACACACACACACACACACACTTGAACATGCGCTCCAACAGACGCACACATATGCACGCACATACAAACATACACACGCACATACATGCACACAGGCATGCACATTCGAATGCACACACATACGAACACAAGCACGCACGCACATGCAACGCACGCAAGTACGCACGCACATGCGAACGCACGCACATACGAACACACGCACATACGAACACAAGCACGCACGCACGCACATGCAACGCACGCAAGTACGCACGCACATGCGAATGCACGCACATACGAACACAAGCACGCACGCACGCACGAAACATGCACGCAAGTACGCACGCACATGCGAACGCACGCACATACAAACTCAAGCACGCACGTACACATAAACGCACATACGAACGCAAGCACGCACACACATACAAATGTAAGCACGCACAAATGAATGCACGCACATACCAATTCACACACATACACGCTCGCATATACGCACATACATACACACACAAGCATACACTTGCAAACACGTACATGCTCGCATGCACACACATACAAGTGTATGCATGCATGCATACACATACGAACACACACACACACACACACGACCCCACACACATAGGCATGCACATACAAATGCATGCACACACATCTGAACGTACGTATGCACACACATAGACACGCACATACAAACGTACATGCAGGCATGCACATACGAATGCACGCATGCACATCCGAACATATGCACGCACACACATATGCATGTGGGCACGCACATATGAATGTACACACATACAAACGCATGCACCTTTAAACCCCAATCCTGTACAAATGCACGCACACACACTCGCATATACGCACAAGCTCACACATATGTACGCGTGCACACACACATACACTCGCAGGCACACACATACGAACATTCGCACGTATGAACGCTTGCACCTTAGAACACGAGCATGTACGAATGCATGCACACTCACGCACGCGCACACACACAATTGCACGCTCGCACACACGTTCACACAGACACATGCTCGCGCACACATTTACACATACGCACGCTCGCACATACGCAAGCACACACACACTAGCTTGCACGCACACACATAGTAATGTATGCAAGCACATACGCAACGCATGCAGGCACGCACATACAAATGTTCGCTCACATGAACGCATGCACCCGAGAACTCAAGTACGCACATACTTATGCATGCACACACGTTCACACAAACACAAGCTCACAAACACACACACACAAATATGCACACGCAAGCGCACACGATTACACACACATAAACTCACATATGCGTGCATGCTCATATACACGCACACACTCGCTCGCGTGCTTGCACACACTCGCAAAAACTCTCATTTGCACCCGCGCTCATATTTGCACATAAGCATACAGTGAAATTTACCTCAAATCCCTTTTGATTCTTTTTAATCATTCCCCCCCTTATTTCTCTCATTCACTTGTGTGTCACACTAAAAACAGTCACACAGAAGCTGTGGGTCTGATTCAGACCTTTGTCGTTTTGCTGGCTTTAAGTGAGACCTCAGGAGAACAGAGGCCGACAGGAACTAACGCTCATGCCCGACATGTATCTGTCAGACACGTTTAAGCCTTGTCGTATCAGACTTGCACACACAATCACAAGCTCTTTCTAGAGTCCTCTCCATTTGCATGATGTGTCAGAGTTTGTATGGAGGTCGCTTGGGGAAAGTGTGTCAAACGCTGAGAGGGAGAAGCCCTGGAGGAGACACGGCCCGCGGGGAGGCTATAGCGGCGCTCAGAGCTCCGGGATCCAGTCCATTCATAGTCCTGTGAAGAACAGCCACGAGCAAACACTTCAGTACACGTAACACAATAACATCCTGCTGTAGCACATTTCACCAGCAGAGGGTGACACTAAACAATGATTCAGCCATGAAGGCATGAGCAGAGCACAGGTTTCAGTTTGAAAACAGTCACATATTAACTGCTGATGAAGTTACATTAGGCCTGTTGGAGTGTAAGGTTTGAAGGATTGCTTTGTACACTATTAAAAATGTGATATGAAAAACACAAAGCTTAAAATTACATTTGCAACAACAGAATTTGCAGAAAGAACATGCACTGTGCTAAAAACGATTTTTTTTTTCATTTGTTATGTTTGGTAAGTTAAAATTTTTATTCAAATTTGAGCTTAGAAGCAAATTTTAACTTCGACTTCAGCAATATAAGCAATATAGCATGAAGTGCAATCTATCTTTTATTTCAAATACAGAAATAAACATATACAATATTCATTCTGCATTTTTTTTGTTTAGTTAAAAAATAAAAAGCACAATTCCAGTTAGCTAGCTCAGTTCTAGCTTCCTCGAATTTATAAAAAAAAAAAAAAAGTAGTACACTTATTTGTATTTATTCTGGATGTTGTTGTGTGTAATAGGTCACTTAAGTGTGATTAAAGGGATAGTTCACCAACAAATAATACATTTACCCACCCACAGCTGGTTCCAAACCTCTTGGACAGGGTTGACCAAACTCAGTCCTGGAGGGCCGGTGTCCTGCATATTTTAGTTCCAACCCAAATTAAAAACACCTGAACCAGTTAATCAAGCTCATATTAGGTACACTAGAATTTTCCAGACAGGTGTGTTGAAGAAAGTTGGAGCTAAACTATGCAGGACACCAGCCCTCCAGGACAGGTTGGGCACCCCTGCCCAAGAGGTTTGGAACCAGTTGTGGGTGGGTAAAATGTATTATTTGTTGGTGAACTATCCCTTTTTAGTTGAAATCCTAAAACCACTGATGTGCCGAGGAAAAAAACAGGGTTTTCATCTTTATTTAAATGATCTTCTTTTGTGTTCAAAATAGCAGAAAAAAATAAATAAATAAAAAACTAAAACAGGCTTGGAGCAAATTGTTTGGGGGGTGAACTATCCCTTTAAGGTCAGTAAACAACAACACTAATAATAATAACAACAACAACAACAAATTACTATTAAAAAATAATTAATAAGTAAATTACAAATATGTAATATCCCAATTTTATTTAATCAAGTGAGATTTCAATCAACTCCAAATATCCCTGAATTAAAATAAAGAAAATAAATAAAATAAAAAAGGGTTCCTTTCATTTAAAAGTTACTTAGAGAATAATAAAAAAAAGAATTCACATGACTAAAAACAAACAAAACAAGAGCCATATCATTCCAAAGGTGATTTAGAATATGAACAACAGTAATAATGCCAAAGCAACATTTAGAATATTTAAGATCTCTTAAATGTATGTAAAACTTCCTTATTTTATAAAAGAAATCTTCTGTGCAGTTAAGAGGGCAGAAACCAACGTACTTACGTCTTATCAAAATACGTTGTGTGAAGCGAATGAGAGAACTTTGTTGCGTTGCTGTTGATGAGGTTTCCATTTCCTGTGGTGTAGTTTTTCCTGGCTGCCTGGTCCTTGGCAAAATTTCTACAGGCCGCTAGTTTAGACTCGAGAGCCTGCGAAAAGAGAAACCCCAGGATTTTCCATTAGCAAGTGCATCTAAATTTAGCAGGAGTTTGTTCTAATTTGGGCATTACAAGCAGCTATTTTTAGTGCAAGTCAAACACATGACTAAAGTATTGAGGAATTACCCCGACTTTCCGCAGAAGGTCACCAACGATGTTAAGAGCTGAGATCCGTGCAGATGGTGTAAGGGGGGAGCCATTTCCACAGCCATTGGTTAATGCTACACAGAGAAAATGGTAACAAAAATTAAGGGTGTCAAAATTAATAGTTTCTTCGGTGCACCGCGATGCAGACACAGACAATTTGATATCGGTTCAGTAATAATCATAACCGGTTATTATGTGCTGATTTCATTTATCTCATATGCGCTATGTTGCCGTAGCTTACTATGGTGAGGGAGTCGAGCGCGAGTATTTACACCACTCCAACTACTTAAAAACGCAGAAACTGTTCACAATTTCACTGCGTGTGTGTTTGCTGGACAGTCTTTCACTGACTTACAGCAGAAGTCCCCATTTCACTGCAAGTTTTCTCCACCACGTCTAACATGTCTACAATCTGGTATGATTGACGCTGCAGTGTTGCCATATGTAGTTGACTGATTCCAGCACAAAAACTATCCAAAACTCGCCGAAATGCCCATCCAAAACCACCCAATCTGGCAACCCTGCGCTATTGTCGTGTATCAGTGTCACTCATCGGTGAACAGCACCTGTAAAGTTACATAAAATAGATATTTTGGAAAGCATCATCAATGCTGATATCCGTGATATCATATTGAACCGAATCGATGGCATAATAATTGTAACCAACCCGTGAGACTAGTGTAGATTCACACCTCTAACAAAGGTGTTCATTTAATGTGTAATAAATTTGTGCTAATTTCCTTACATTTCTAGCACAGACATCTAAACATTAGGCATGTTCAAAGACTTACTTTCTTTCCTAAGTAAACTGTTGTATATAATTAGGCAAATTATGTAGGAACTAGAGCTGCACGATTAATCGAAAAAAGATCGCAATTTCAATTCTACCCTCTAGACCAGGGGTGTCCAAACTCGGTCCTGGAGCGCCAGTGTCCTGGAAAGTTTAGTTCCAATCCCAATCAGACACACCTGGGCTAGCTAATCAAGCTCAAACTAGGCTTTCTAGAAACATTCTTGCAGCTGTGTTGAGGCAAGTTGGAGCTAAAATCTGCAGGACACCAGCCCTCCAGGACTGAGCTTGAACACCCCTGCCCAAGATGATCCTAATCCCACATTTCTACGATTCTGCCAATACTATTTTCAAGTTTAGGAGAGAAGAAAAGGCGGCCGCACAGGTCTTCTCATTGCTTTACATACATTGCTCCGCGACATGGGTACCTCCAAATGGTGTTGAAAGTCACATACTGAATTCACCCAAAAATGTAATTTCGCTCTTCATGTAATGATGTATTCGCGACGGCGAAATCACACTTGATGTGAGCTGTTAAGACCGAGAGGGCGGGCACGCGGCCTACTTAATGATAGACGTGATAATAATCACATCACATTTTAGAGCTATGATTACGACAAGCATTTAATATGTTTTTCTTTCATAGCAAACACAAAGTATTGTGCATGAAAATACATTTTTAAGTGTCAGTATAACTACTCTAGCCAATATAATATTGAATTTAATGCAAGAGGAAATTTGATAATAGTAAATGTCTGATTTTACCAGTGAATAAATAGTCTAATAATGTTGTCAATGACAGATTGCAAGCATACGTCTCAAACATCATAATTCAACATCAGAATTATAAATAGTTGAGTTCTGATGTCATCACTTTACTGTGCATTAATGACCAGGACAAATTTAAAGTCTGTTCAAGTCCAACATTCAAAGCCTATTCAAAATTTAGCATTTGAACCAACAGTAGAGCTACACATAATATTATTGTTGTTTTATCTTATGTTTGAGAATAACAATAATAATAGTCTACTCATATTAACCTTTATTTTACATCTACAGAATACATCTACATCACTATTAATCTGTGAAGCAGGCAGAGTTACTAAATGATACCAAGTGTGTCCACAGAAGCCTTTTTGCACAGCAGAAAACAAACTCTCTTCTAAAAATGCTCAGCTAAGAGTTTCTCCAACTGTTAGTGCATTTACAAAACCCTGAATTTAGCATTTAGTGTGAAACACACACTCAGTGCCTTATTACAATGCTGGCCTTCAAAAACATGTCACGTCAATTAAAAACAACAGGAAAAAAAAATGCTTTGCTGAATACATGCCATTATAATCCAAATAACCAAACACCAACCTTTTGTGCCAATGAAAGGATGCTCCATGGTCTTCCCCACAGGTGTAGCTGGGAGAGACAGCGAGGCCTGCACAGCAGAGTCTGTCTTATCAATGTCTAAAGTAGGAGAACTGGGGGCCGACATCCTGGTCACATCTGACGTCCTCTCTCGTACAGCCAACTCCTGCCTCAGGTCTACAAAAACATGTACATCAGCACTGATGATAAACCAGCAGATACCTAAAAGACTACACAGAAGTCTACATGACAATGTAAAAATGCACTTTGATGCATGTTAAGGGCATGCCGAACCAACAGGGGGCAGTAAAAGCCTTTTTATGCTGGGTTCACATCAATTGCATGAGTACATTGCATACAAGTTAGTGTAAATGTAAGAACCGAGGTGAACAGTTCTGTGATGGGTGAACAATACTGAATATGTGGCACGTTTGCAGCTAATGTGCAGACTTTGGACTTTGTGTTTGGACCTGTTGACTTTAGGGGTTTAGGGTTGGGTTTAGGGTTGAGGTAGCTGTAGACTTTAGTAATTGTGAGGGTTGGGTTTAGAGTTAGGGTAGATGTAGACTTTAATAACTGTGAGGGTTGGGATAGGTGTAAATCTTAATAACAGTGAGGGTTAGGTTTATGGTTGAGGTAGGTGTAGACCTTAAAACTTTGAGGGGTGGGGTAAGTGTAAATCTTAACTGTGAGGTTTAGATTTGGTGTTGGGGTAGGTGTAGACCTTAACTGTGAGGGTTGGGGTAGGTATAAATCTAAACTGTGAGGGTTGTGTTTAGGGTTGAGTTATGTGTAGACCTTAAAAACTGCAAGGACTGGGTTCAGGGTTGGGGTAGGTGTACAGTGTAACAATTGTGATTGTTGGGTTTGAGGTTAGGGTAGGTTTAGACCTTAAAACTGTGAGGGTAGGGGTACGTGTAGACCTTAATAATTGTGAGAGTTGGGTTTGAGGTTGTGGTAGGTGTATACCATTATAACTGAGGGTTGGGTTTTGGGTTAGGGTAGGTGTAGACCTTAAAACTGCAAGGGTTGGGGTAGGTGTAAATCTTAACTGTGAGGGTTTGGTTTGGGGTTGGGGTAGGTGTAGACCCTAATAACAGCAAGGGTTAGATTTAGGTTAGGGGTAGATGCAGACCTTAACTATGAGGGTTAGGTTTAGGTTTGGGGTAGATGTAGACCTTAACTATGAGGGTTAGGTTTAGGTTTGGGGTAGATGTAGACCTTAACTATGAGGGTTAGGTTTAGGTTTGGGGTAGATGTAGACCTTAACTATGAGGGTTAGGTTTAGGTTTGGGGTAGATGTACAACTTAACTGTGAGAGTTGGGTTTATGGTTGGGGTTGGTGTAGACCTTAAAACTGTGAGGTATGGGGTAGGTGCAAATCCTAACTGTGCGGTGTGCGGTTTAGGTTTGGTGTTGGGGTAGGTGTAAACCTTAACTGTGAGTGTTGGGTTTAGGGTTAGGGTACATGTAGACCTTAAAACTGTGAGGGTTGGGGTAGGTGTAAATCTTAACTGTGAGGATTATGTTTAGGGTTGGGGTAGGTGTAGACCTTAAAACTGTGATGGTCGGGGTGCTTGTAAACTTTAATAATTGTGAGGATTGGGTTTAGGGTTGGGTAGGTGAAGACCTTAATAATTGTGAGGGTTAGGTTTGAGGTTAGGGTAGGTGTATACTAGACCTTAAAACTGTAAGGGTTGGGGAAGGTTTAATCTTAACTGTGTGGGTTGGGTTTGGGGTTAGGGTAGGTGTAGATCTTAATAACTGTGAGAGTTGGGGTAGGTGTGGATCTTAATAACTGTGAGAGTTGGGGTAGGTGTGGATCTTAATAACTGTGAGAGTTGGGGTAGGTGTGGATCTTAATAACTGTGAGAGTTGGGGTAGGTGTAGATCTTAATAACTGTGAGAGTTGGGGTAGGTGTGGATCTTAATAACTGTGAGAGTTGGGGTAGGTGTGGATCTTAATAACTGTGAGAGTTGGGGTAGGTGTGGATCTTAATAACTGTGAGAGTTGGGGTAGGTGTGGATCTTAATAACTGTGGGAGTTGGGTTTGTTACGTTCAGCTGTACATTACCAAAGGGAAGCGGTCATTTCTATTTCAGGCAAAGTACATAAAATGAGGGTGGAGTCATTTTTGTGTGGACTGTAGTAAAGTTTACCTCTAGCTTCATCTTTAAGCCTCTGCACTGAGACCAGCAGAGACTCCTTCTCGTCCAGTTCGCTCTCCAGGAAAGCATTCCTCTCAATCGCCTGGTTCAGCCTCTGCTCAAAGTCCTCCAGAGACGTGATGGTGGCCCTGCATAAACAAAGCCCATCAATATGAACAACTTCAGCATTTCACTTGCATAATGCATTTTGCACTATGGTTAAGCATTAGTGACACACAGGCTGGGATCTCGTCAAAAAGTAGTCCAGTATTTAAGGGTCAGGTTATTCCAGAAAGACAAAATGAGAGCATCTCCATACCTCTTGGCTCTCTCCAGGTCATCGTTGGCCTGCTCCAGCTCTCTGACGTATTTGTGCAGTTGTTCCTTGATGCCGCGTGTTTGGAGCAGGTCGTCCTCCAGCATGGAGATCTGCTTATAGCTCTGTGCATACTGCTGCTCTAGTTTCTCCTGCAGCAAGAGACACAGAGGAGACACTGTCTGAGTTACCTACCTCAACAATCTTCTCAAACACCTGAAGAAAACATCAGTAAAAAAATATTTGCAGAAACAATCAAACTGTATTTAACATTGTTCTCTATGCCTCAAATTCCACTATTCTATCCAAATACTTTTCTAAATAGGATTTAATACAAAAACACACAAAATAACTAATTAAGATCATGTGATCTACCATCCTTACCACTTTAAAGGAATACTCCACTAATTTTACAAGTCAAGTAGAGTTTAACAGTTGAGTTAGCATTTTTGAATCCATTAAGCCAATATTGGGGTCTGATCGGAGCACTTTTAGCTTAGTTTATGGCTAGGAATTATACTCTCATACCGCCGTAATAATCAAGAAATTTTGATATTACGTAGTGATGTTACCTAGTTACCTAGCTGAGGACTATTTTTAGATGCAGCTAATTTCATAATTTTATCTATTATAATTTTTTTTTTAAAGACCAAAAGACTTTTTCTTTAGACCAAAAAAGGGTATTTGCATGGTACAATAAATAAGGTATTTTAAGCCTGAACACTCACAGGCACATTCTTGAGAATGGACCCTTTATACAAATAGGGGGCACAATCCTACCTGAATCAGAGACATCATGTATCTCAGACATTAAGAAATTACATTCAATGACACAGTTCAATGGATTCATTTTTCTATTTTTGCACCATCCACAACTAGCCAGCCTCAGTTACCTAAAGAGCAATTTCCATTTGCATTTGACTTTATTTCTGGTTGAACTGTCGCTTTAATGAGGAGTTTGAGAGGAAAAACCCAGTGCACATGACTCTCTTCCCGACTTCAGTAGGTAACCTACTTTATCCACTCCATTTCTTCTAATCTACGTGTATTGTTTTGGGCCACAGCTAAATAATGAGTGTCCTAACGAATGCAAGATCAGTGGGCAAGGGCACTGTGTTCAGAGAATGCAATCATATAATGATCAGGCTTTCTGGGACAGCAACAAGCAGTCCGATCACATTAAATTGGAATAAGGAGCCCTTGCCTAATAGAAGCAAGCAGGCTAAATCTTTGAACTGTGTTTACCCTAAGCCCAAGTCATTATGAAGGTATTCCTGTCAGGGTTTTAAAGGAACAACTGTGCTATAAGTAAACTTTTCTGCAGAGCCATTAGCCTTCTATTTTCTTCCTCTTCATCCTGACATCCAATTACAGCACACTCTGGATTAACAGAGACCCTCGACAGCTCTCTCGCTGGATAACGCTGCATCTCCACACATCGGGATATTGTTCTTGAAAAAGCACAGCGGATACATTGCTTATGAGATACAACACCAGTTTAAATGTGTGTAAAGAGAGCTCTGCCATTAAAGCATTAGAGCCATTAGATTTGCCAATCTAGTCAAAAAGTTAAGTTTTGGTAGATTTAAGGAAGAAAATTTACAATAAGTCTTCATGAAAGATGAAAGGCTTTTGCCATTTTGGACTTAAACTAATGTATTTTTGGCTATTCCCACAAACATAACTGTCTTCTGTCATTTGCTATTAATCACCTTAAGTGTTTAAATCAGCTTTTTTTTTTAAATCTGTTCTTTGTGTTTTGCTTAAGATGATTTGGTAGATCCTGGATCTTTTAATCATAATAACAGATCTCTGGCTAAAAAAAAAAAAAAAAAAAAAAAAAAGTTTGCAAATGAGATTAAAACTTTTGGATGAATTTATCTAAGATTACTGCGTGTGCTTTCATTAGTTGTGAAGAACAGATCTATCTATCTATCTATCTATCTATCTATCTATCTATCTATCTATCTATCTATCTATCTATCTATCTATCTATCTTTCTATCTATCTATCTATCTATCTATCTATCTATCTATCTATCTATCTATCTATCTATCTATCTATCTATCTATCTATCTATCTATCTATCTATCTATCTTTCTATCTATCTATCCTTAAAATCATGATCCTCAATGCAGCGATTGACTACATCAAATCACTCACATATTTGCAGTTAGAATTGCATGTTAATGACACCAGTAAATTAGATATCATTCCTTCACAAAATAATCTCAATGAGAATATTTGCCATTTCTATTATCATACACTCAGACATTTTACTAAAGCTGAGGCGCTACCTTTACAAAGTTTGCATCTGTACCTAAATTACAAATGCAATTCAATTTGTCAATAATAACCAAGCCCAGCTAATTGAGTAATCCACGTACGAAAAATGAAGCCCAGGTTTGGTTGTTGATCTGAAAAAGCAGACGATAGCTATGTTTCCATCCATCTATTTTTATGATGATGTCAGGATTGTCTTCTGAGGTGCGAGTCATTTATTAAATGAAAAAAAGATTGACACAGCTTCTTCTACCGCTGCAAGTTCCGTTTTTATTGTTGATATTTGCCGCCAGTTTATCAAGAAAAATAAATACTATAAAAGTTCATTTGTATTTTTGAATGGAAACACAGCTATTGTCAAAAAAATGTGTAAACATTGTCTAAAATGTTTTAAGTTTTTCCCCTTATGGCCATTTCCAGATGTAGTCAATTAGTTAAAAAAAAACATTTAAACAGTAAACGTTGAGAACGTGAAATTTCTAGTGACTCTACAACAGCAGTACAATGTTGTCTTGCAAAACACAAATTCATCATAAATAATACGTTCTAAATGCAAAAACTATGTTTTTAATTCAGGTCTGGAGAAGCTCACTGCTGTCCTACCTTGAGTATGTCCACCTCGCTCTTCAGCCTTTGGTTCTCGGACTGCAGGTCTCGGATGCGGTGTTCTGCCTGACCCAGCTGAGCCTCCAGCTCGGCCTCCAACTCCCGACTGCCTTCCTGAAACTCCTGCAGCTCTTCCTGAGCATCATGACAACTGCAAACATGAAAACACATGCACAAATCATACGTCAGTGGCCATCTGGAGCTGTGGCGGCACATTCATCACTTAAACTATGCAATGTAAATTGACAGCCAGAGTGCAACAAAGAGCAATAAGCATTTAGGCCTTGACAGCTGGTGCTATAGGAGATAATGAATTACATGTAATTACTCAGTGCTCTGGCCATTTACACTAATACGTTTTAGTTTGATAACGCACAAGTGTTGCTACAGTTACACCATCCGTCCACACTACACTGGTGTTTGAGCGCCGAAAATTGAGCTTTTTGAGAACACTGAAGAGGCCGTTCTTATTTTAAAACTGTGCTGCTCCATCTCAGTGTAGATGTGGGGGGGGGGTAAACAAAGACATCTGAAAACGGAGGTGGGGCTGCAGACGTTCGCCTATCTGACTGGGGCTTTTCCCTCAATATTAAGAAGCCTACATACAGTTTAGTCTTGCATCCTCTCCTTGCAAGTTCAGACTTCACATGTTTAATATGGAAAACAAACTCCAGAGGACACATCGAGTAAATCTTCAAAGGGAAAAAGTGTACTTTATAATCTCATTCACAACACCCTGGCTACGCTGTTTCACTTTCTTAACAATAAAATGAAGACATGATATAAGGAACTGCTATCTTCATTTTGATATTAACTTAACAGACACCAAAAATGTTGAGGCATCATGTAGCTGCATTTTTATATGACAGTCATCTTCACTTAATGCATATTTATAACAAAACTAAGCCCATAACATAACAGCCTCCTTTCATTTTCATTGAAAATATGAAACATACCCTCTCTTTTGCCGAATATCAGTTTAATAATTAATAAGGCTTCCAGTATACGTACTTTCAGGTGCTGCACATCTTGTATCTTCACACCATAAACAATTGCCTTCGGATGAGCCCAAAGATAAAAGTCTAAGGGGGTCAGATCGAAAGACCCTGGGGGCCATTCAACTGGCCCACGACAACCAGTCCACTTTTCAGGAAACTGTTCATCTAGGAATGCTTGGACCTGACACCCATAATGTGGTGGTGCACCATCTTGCTGGAAAAACTCAGTGAACGTGCCAGCTTTAGTGCATAAAGAGGGAAACACATCATCATGTAGCATTTTCAAATATCCAGAAATAAAACCGAACAAAACTTCTTGCATGCCCCCTCAAATATAAGCTGCTTCAAGAGCGTGCAGATCTTCTTGTGTGGGGGGTGTTGACGGTCATGTATCGGGCACTGCAGGCCGGTCCGCTACGCTACTGCTGAAATGCGATTTAGTGCATTTATGTAACGAGAATGTCTCCACATTTGCTAGGAATATCTCCAATAGACCTACAGAGCGATATTAATGTGTCCTGAAGTAAAGTGAAACGGCTATACGTTGTGTTTGCTGGCCTCCAGCATCACGCACCTGACAATTAGTCAGTCAGCACGTAACCTTAAAAGGTTAAACAAATGATGCACAGCACTACTACGGTTACAGAAAACTTTGTGTTGTTATAATTCACTTACCCTTTATTAAGTTTTGGTTTTGGTGGATTATTACCCGCTATATTAAAAAAATAAAATGTGTTGAATGAGAAGCTGTAATGTAGCCGTGGTGGGATGAATTTTGGCGCACCATGGAAGAATGAACGTAGCGGAAACAATGCATCACATAAATCACCTACTAGGGATGTAACGGTATCAGAATTTCACGGTTCGGTAATACCTCGGTATGACTGTCACGGTACGGTATTTATTGAATCATTTACAGGAAAAAACAAAACTTATGAAAATACTCCAAACAAGTGCCAAAAGTGTCAATGACATATAAATTAGCCATCTATCTGTAAGCTTTGAAACAGGAACTTCAATTTTAATAACAAAAAAATATTAAACCATGTAAAAAAATTAAGTTTCAATTTAGTATTGTTGAAAACTCATCACATTCAACATTTAATCACTCACTCACTTAGATAGAGATGGGTTTAAAGGAAAATTATCATATAAATATAATCTGGTAAAAGCTGGTATCTCTGTGCATTTACAATGTCCCCTGCAACAGAAAAAACCCTCTCATTTGGGACTGAGGTTTCTGGGACAAGAGAGATATGACTTGGCCCAGGTTGACAGCAGTGGGTAACGTTGTGCATTGTCTTTCCCCCACTTGAGAGGACAAACCATGAGTGAGATAGAGGTCTCATGTCTGCATCAATCTGAACAGTGTGCTGACAACACCGCTATTCAGTACGCGCGCGACAGCACAGCTGATAAGAACTCGCTCGACAACACCGCTATTCGGTACGCGCGCGACAACACAGCTGATAAGAACTCGCGCGACAACACCGCTATTCAGTACGCGCGCGGCGACAACACCCGCTTTAGAGTTTTCCAGCTCTTTTTCATCCCCGCTTCTAGCAGCACACTCCTTTTCCGCATTACTGGATCTGTAGCGACAACAGACCGCAAGGGATGATGGTCAAGCATGGGCTGATCGGAATTGTAGTTTTTGCTACCTCCCGTTCGCTTCATTCGCCTGAGCAAATTTTCTCAGAAGACCTATAGTTTTACCGAGTCATGCGACTACGGTAATATCGAAAAAAATTTATATTGCGGTATGACGGTATTTACAATACCGTTACATCCCTATCACCCACATTTAAAAATCGTTAACTTGATATAGTTAATTTTATAATTCCTCGATATTTCATTTATAATCAAATATGCAGTAACTGCACACATAAGACTTAATCATTTGAAGTTTAATTATTTTCTTTGTGCAACACTTAACACTTGTCAGCTACTATAACTTAAACAACAACAGCAACAACAAATGTCAGTACATGGAAAACTCCTTTCAAGTGAGTTACAGGGTCTTTAAAAAGGCAGACTCATGCGTCTAACTATTTCCAGGAAAGTATATTTTCGTGCTTCCTCAGCAGGAAATTCCTGGGATTTGGAGAACTTCCTGTGCTCCGCCAAGTCTCAGGGGCAGTAAAACATCAGAGCACGAGGTGCATGTGCACGTGTTGAAACTGTGTAGGAGGTCAGAGCGAAACAGACAGAGACCACCAGCAGACAGACAGTCAGCATTAGTGCCAGCAGCAACTGCGAGCTTTGGTTTAGATCAGAGAGACACTCTTAGGCTTCTTTTGGTTGGGAAAACACCACCAACCACAGTCATATCTGAAGGGTTCTAATCTGTACTTTAAAAAGGAATAGTTTGCACAAAAATGAAACCATCATTGTTTACTTATTTGTTCTCCAATGCATGTCAAAAGGCTGCTTACTCCCAACATTCTTTAGAATATCTTGTATTTTGTTCGACAGAGGAAAAATATTCATAAAAGTTTAGAGCCATTTGAGTGTGAGGACAATCTTAGGATGACCTATCCCTTTAAAGACTACTTTGGTTAGGTAGCGTATATGTGACTGACTGCTGATTTATTTAAAGTTTATGATCACATCAGATCAAATTTTATGATATTCTATATATATTTATGTATTCCATTGAGTCATTCTCATCAGGGCTCGAAATTGCGACCATTTTGGTCACATATGTGCCCCAAATTTTATCTATGCGACCTTAAAATATATTTGGGAGCATTTCTGCTAGTGCTTAAAATTGTTGTGTGCGATCAGTTTTTACTGCAAAATGTTCACCACATGCACGGATTCGGGAGACATTCACGCAGAATGCACATTTAAGCTCTTTGTCTGCACTTGAAACGCGAAAGCAGCGCTCAGTAATGGTTTAAAACAGTTGTCATGTCGACTTGCTGCACTAAACAAATCCAAGTCCGTAATGCTTGCCCCGCCTTCGTGCTCTTCTTATTGACCCACCACTGGTCTAGCACTGAACGCGAATGATTGGTTAATCAGCTGTCAATCACTCAGTGCCTTCTGGCTTGGGATGACAGAGAGAGCTACTACCGCGAAACATTGTAAAGCGCTGAAGATGAGAATGAAGAAAACACTGACAGATTTTGTTTTAGAAACCATGGCATCTAAAGTTATAAATAATGACACATCTTACTAGTGATCATGTGCTAAATGTTAATCCTCCATCTACACTTTTCCAAGAGTAGAAGACTTCCATTGGCTTCAAGTCCGCTACGAAAAGTCTGTGGGATGGAGTTTTCAGGTGACTGTTTGCCACTTCTACCATGAAGACTTCTGTTTAGTCCTTCATATAATCGCCAGATAGCTGCCCCTTGCACGGCGGACAGCATGTCAAATTTAACACCACGTACACCATCGCAAACGTGCTTGCACCGAGTAAACCAATATCGCTACTCTTTAAAAAAACCGGTTTTGCTATTAACATGTATGCATATAATAAGGTACAGTATGTGTCAAAAGCATCAGTGCAATATCAGACAGCACTTGTGAGAACAGCACAGTTATATCGTTAACAGATTCATTCAAGCAGTGCGTGCAGGGCCAGTGAGCGCTCCGTGCTTTGCTCACTCAGTTATGTTACAGAAATGTATTTTCTTGAGATAACGGGATTTCGTTGAGATATATTTTCCATTTATTTGCTTGTTAGTTTAATTACTATTGATTTCAAATACAATAAATCTGTTTGTGTAACACTTGTAGTAACGGTGCTTATAATTGGTGGGTGCGACTAAATTTTGGCTGATGCGCCTAGATTTTTTAAATTAGTAGCACCATTGCGGTTAAAAGATTAATTTCGAGCCCTGCTCATTACAGACCATCAAAACAAATGCACTTTACAGCATGACAAAAATATAAGAATAACATCATTCAGAACAAGATAAAAACACTGTTGGAAAAAACACCTATATATGCCTGATGTATTCCCCCAATACATAAAGTTCATTATAAACAAACAAATAAAAAACACATTACAACCATCATTATTAAAATCATTAAAACTTTCCCCATCATTAAATCTTTCCCCATCATTAAATCTTTTCCCATCATTAAATCTTTCCCCATCATTAAAATCTTTCATATGGGGTGCTAGTGCCTGGGATGCACAGGAAAAGAAACCAAAAAGCCACTCTGGCGTCATGCTTGCATCCTTTTTCATTTACAATCTCCTCACTGCTGCTATACGGCACTCATTTTCACGCGTGTTGTTATTCTGAGCTGAAGAGGCAATAGCTACTTTCACACAGTGATGCCAGTAAATATTCAGAAATTTTTGGGAGTGACTTTACAGATAAATTCAAGAAAGTGCTGTTCACAGGCAGGGACGTTATGGATTTTTTTCACACATCCATTCCAAAACACAGGTAAATTCTGACATCAGTAACCAAAAATTAGCTCTAAATCGTTGCACTTATTTGTAAACATTTGACTATATTACAAACTCTGTGGATGGATTAGTACTGTGAACAACCTTGATGAAAACATGTAGAGAAACACTTTCGCAAGTCGAGAAGTACAAAACATGTGTGTGTGCTGGTGCTCGCCAGCTGCTTTGAGTGCACACGCAACGCATCAAAGTGCACTCTTTCCGCCAATCTTCCTTCAGCGTTCACAGAGCAGCATTCCAGCAAATAACGATAATGTTACAACTCCTCTTTCCGGAAAATAGCCGGAACAAATTTACCCGAATTTTCAAAAATCACCTGTTAAAAACATTCAGACCTTTCAGGACAATGCCGGTAAATTTCCAGAAAGGTCTGTATGTGTGGAAGGAGCAACTCGCGGCATTCAAGGTGTGCCTGGAAAATGAGCATGGGTCTTATTTTTAAATGACAAACTTACACCCTAAGCTTGTTGGCATTCCTTCCAAGGCGCATGTTTAGCAGCCAAATATTAATCAAACTATAGCGCTTCATACCGAAACTTCTTTATCATTGACAATGATGTGGTCAATAAATATCGATACTATTTTTAAACGCCCATCTCTACATTCAACCAAATTAAGCATAGTACTTTTTCAACAAGGATCTATAAAATAAGAGTACTTCAAATGCTTTAAAGGGGAAAATGGTTCCAAAAATAAATAAATAAATAAATAAAATAACCTTAGTAAGTCTGTCATTATAAATCCCACAGCAACATAAAACAGAATATTGACCTCCAAAAATATGTCTTTTGCAGTCAAGGGGATGGCTACTGACATTTTGGATGTCATTCTATAATGACTAAAGTTACTAAATCAAACAATTCTGCACATGGATATCTCTTTAACATGCTCCCAATCACCCGTCTGAACCTGAATAATATGCAGTGGAATATTTAGGACTAAACTTAAGGACCTGAAAAGGACTAAAACAACAACAAACTAACCATGTTGGATTTGCATTTACTATTTTTGTGACAATGAGAGATTTAATTTGAACTCTTGACATCAAGAACTTCTAAAGAACATCAGGTCTGACTATAAATTAACATTATGTTTCAAAAATGAGCAATTCTCCAAATGACACAGTCATGGAGCATCTTTACAGTTTCAGCAGCCCCCTATTGTCACGAACACTGAAAGGCTCTGTGTGTTGTGGCATTTTCTCTGGTTTTCAATGACAAAAAAGTGCCCAAATCATTTTTACAGCCATTCATCACCCGCAGGGCTCGTGATTGTAGGTATGAGCACAGAAACAATCATTATTGCCTCAGCCAGTTAAAGTTTAACTAAGACACTGTGGCCAAGCCAAAACCATTTTCCTAAAAAAAAATACCCCATAGCTTTTTATAGGAAGGTAAACCACACAGTGTTGTAAAAGCTCAGCAGTTAGCTATATTTAGAAGTTAATGACTTCAGCTTACCTCTTTTTGTATTTGAGAGACAAACACTTCCAGTAATCGATTTCCTCGTCTTTTGAGGAGAATTTTGGCATCATCTCTGTGTCCATGGTGGAGACCTGTGGAAGCAGATGGAGAATTGGATCAGTCTTGAGGGACACAGAGCCTGTACTTCGCACTGCAGTTTTGTCCTGGTACAACCTCACAAACAGATAGCAGGCAAAGCGCCCATGGTGCCTGTCCTCATTTGACTCAAGTCCAAAGGCTTTTTTTCACCCATCACTTAGAGCTTCACCAGACTCACATGGTTTATTTAGCCACTTTACAAGCTCACAGTGTTTCAGGTGGCACCTTAAGTGTTTAGTTTCACATAATTTTATTTCTTATATATATATTGTGACATCAGCAACTTATGGCTATTTCACGGCAAGATGGATATAAAACATTACATGATAAAAACAAATTTGTATTACAATAAAAAGTTCCTTGGATAAATATATTAAGTATAAATAAATAAAATTCACATAAAAATATATATATTCAAAGTTAAATATATTTTTTCAGTTCAATGTTTGATAAATAATTTAAGATTTCTCCTGGTGGTACCTTTTTAAAAATATCCAAAGTACTCTACTTATAAAATTTTTTGCATTTATTGAATTGTATTCAAATTTCCACATTCTAACAGAATATGTTTGATAGTAAGAGCAGCCTGGCAGTAATTACGTACATTTAGGTGGGTCTTCGTTATTGAAGAGGTACAAATGAGTCAACCTAGAATGTCCAATTCGACATTTAGTATAGACAGTCTGATCATGCCTGGTCTTAAAATTACAATTTGCTAATAGTCTTTCATTTATTTTTGGGTTAATTTCATGTAATTTATTATTTATGCAGTTGTCCCATTTAATTTTCCATGTTTCATATATGTACAAATTAATTGTGGGTTTCAAGTCCTTAAGAGGAATTAAACATTGTCACATTTAAGGAGATAGTTTTGCTTTTAGTTTCACATTTTGTGATTTTATTTTATTTATTTTTTACTTCAGGCTAATTTAATTTCTAGGGAAGGCAATGACCAGAGCCCCCACAAAATGTTATTATCAAGACTGTTGTCTCAGGATTCAATATTGTGATTTTAACATATATTGTGATATATTGTAATGCATTACTTTTTTTTTTTTTTTTACTTCAATTATGTCCCTAAAGGAAAACATTGGCAACATGTGTTTTAACTAAACAGAAAAGTTTGTTTGTCTCACTTCAACACTTTAATTAAAACCTGAGATATATGTGCTTTTTTGGTGATGCAACCATCTTTATTTTACCAGCTTTCTATAAGCTGAAGCTGACTTTAAAGAAGACGACTAAAAAAAAAAAGTTCTCACTGACTGTGGTTAAATCCATTTTATTACAGGGGTTAAAGAAAAGAGAAACACTCAGCCTGAAGGGGGACTTCCAATATTGACAAAAGTAACAAAAATAAAGTAACAAGAGCTTATATTGCTTAAAAAAACTGGTAAACAGAGACCGAGATACTCGTTTCAAGGATTATGCTTTGCACCATTTATTTAAAAGTACTATGTCAAATACTGTGCTTTCTTCTAAACAATAACAAGTGCTTGAAGTGCCTAAATAAAAAGTGCTCAAAGTACTTAAGAACTAAACTGCTAAACTAAAGATTAGGAGTGAAATCAAGGCTATCACTTATTTTTTCTTTTTTTCTGGGTTGTAAGCCAAGTCCGGCAAACTCTTTCTTTTTAAGACACTTGGACCAGAAGATGGAGATGGTACGGGGGAGGAGGTTGAGGGTCTGCTGTTTGTCCAATCATGTTTTTTCCGTCAAATAAAAATATCAGGCTCTCAAATAGATCGCTCCACAGGAAATATGCATTCAATTAATGCTCCACTGTTATTATTATTTCACAAAACCTCTGTCAACATTTAAATAAAAGTCATTAGATTAAAGATTATGGGCCCTATCATACACCCGGCGCAATGTGGCGCAAGGTGCGGTGCAATAGTCTTTTGCTACTTTAAGCTCGGCGCAAGGGTCATTTTGAGGTGTTGCATTACACTGTTTAAATAGCAAATGAATTTACGCTCAAATGTGCGCCCACAGGCGTTCTGGTCTAAAAAAGCAGGCGTATTTTGTCACGTTGCTATTTTGAGAAACTGTAAATAGTCTGTTCTTTAGACCAGAACAAAGTCGGTCTATTGTCTGGCACAAAGTGCGCAGTATTATTTATTATATCCATATTTATATTTGTTTTATTAAAAACAAGCTTAGATTTGTCCACCTGTCAGGTTTTAGACCATATGGGGCACAGCAGGTGTATCTGGAAATAACTCAGGTTTTTGACCACACTTTGTTATTATTTTTCATTTATTTGTTTGCTGAAAATTAGAACTGAATTTAGAAATAGTTTTGAAACAAATCTTTGCGCTTAACAAACGAAATTAATTATTTATAGGCTAACTGATGTCTGTGCGGTAAGGTTTCCCTAACCACGAGAGCAAAAGCGAAAGTGAACTGACTTTACGTCATGTTAATAGCAATGCGATTATGGCGCGACGCAGCTGGCTCTTAAAGGTAATGGGAGATGAGACTCTGATTAGACTCTGGTTTATTCTCAAAACACACCTGTAACTCATTAAGAAAATAAACTCAACCCTTTTAGACCATGCGCCACGACGCAAAGTGGATTTTCCCGTCCTTAAATTAGCAAAAATGCATTCTGACACGTCCTGAAAGCGTTTGCGCACTCCGTTTTGCGTTCTGCGCATGGACCGTCAAAATAGAGCCCTATGGCTTATTTCCAGTCTCAATCGTGGTTCATGTGTGCGTGCGCTGCGTGTGATGAAAAAAATGACAATGAACCTCAAGGCTCATATGTTGACTTTTTGTATGACAATTTTGTTCTGTGCATATGATATTGCATTAATTTGCATACATGTTTTATAAGCCATAAAAAGCCTCAGTTTGGTGCAGAGTTATCATTATACAAAAATCAAGAAAATCTTTGGATTTATGTGACTCATAGAATAAGTAGACTATTTTAAAAACTGATATTATATAAGAACTTTAAATAACTGTAATTTTTCCAAATGGAAAAAAGTTGTTTTTTTGGTTGTACACTAAATCATCAATAGCCTATTTGTTGAAATGATAACGCGGCTCCAGGCAGCACAGAGGCGATCAGCATCAGCTCTGGTTTATGTCAACTCATCTGTGTCAAACTGTGACCAGAATTATCCTTCTTTCATTTTGCTTCTTTGGCAAAATACGTCTGCAGGCACGCATGTTTGCACGTGTTACAGTCCCGCGAGTTACCAAATATGTGTTGCACATTTAGGGGTCAATCACATAGAGCACGCCTTTTCGTTGCAAAAACGCGAGGAGCTCTTTTGTATGTCATTAGAAAACAACTGAATCAGCTGATCCCATATTGTGTGCAAGTCGTGTTGCTGTCAATGTTATAATTGTAGTTTTTAATAATATTGTGATATTCAAGATCTGTAAAGTCATACGGCTTTAGATAACTTGAAACAGCAACCACAAGTCCCTCCGCCATCATTAAACTTTCGCCATAGTCGCCTTGACAACACAAACCCTACTGTCACCTCAACAGAAATCCCGCTTCTGCTTTCATTTGATTGAAGAAAATTTTCCGCTTGAGCACACAGCACGCAATGGCAAAACGTGAGGCGGCCAGGGTGCATAAGCAGCGAGTAAAACAGTGCAGCCATTATTGAACCGTTTAAAAGATGCACCTCTCAATGCAAAAAGCACGTTTGCTGTGATTGGCCCTCTAATGCAGCCAAACTTTAAAAACACAAACTAATATTTTTTAATCATTTAATTAATTGGTTACAAACGCACCCTTTCGGTTAACGGTTAATCAATTATTTTGGGAATCCCTAATTAAACCGCATACGCAGGCTCGGATTTTTTTTTTTTTATATTAACTTCCGGCCACACGCCAGAGATCCAGCACGGTGCCGGAATACTTCTAGTTCTTTTATTATTTACCCAAAAAATAGCAATTAGCAATGTAGCATTGCGCACATATGTATATCGGTATAGTGTTTCTGCAGAAAATATTGCAATATTACACTGTATGAATATTTTCCCTCACCACAACTTATTTCAGTATTACATTCAACCAAAACTCTGAAGCTTCAACAGGTTTATAAATATATAATCCATATGCTGAATCACTGGCAACTCTCTTCTCAATCCCTCCCTACTCTAGCTTGTATTTTCTAACAATGTCAGAAACATTGTGTTATTAGCACTGACGAGATTACTGCCTCTCTGCGATGAATCACTTGATGTCTTCCATATTTCTAATGCCTAGTTCACTCAACAGGATTTTAAGCCTGATTTAAGAGTTAACAAGCTCGCCGACAGATCGGGCTGTAATTGGGAGAATTCTACGAATGTTTGGTGTAGCTGGATTTTTGCTTTAAGCCACTATCGCAGTACGGGTAAACGATGCGCAAGTCTGTTGTGAATCCTTTTTTCATGATTTATTATCACATCTTGTGCCAAATTAGTGTAATAGCTCCATTGCTCTTCAGTAGCACCCGTCACCACAAATCAATGATTTGCCATTTTTTGGGTAAATTACGCCATTCTAAAAACTCCTTTTGTGGTCTGTAAAAATAATACAATTTATAAATTATAATTAAATATATAATTATAATTAATTAAATTAAAAATAAATAAAGTAGAAACTAATTTTCAGTTTAGTATGAAGCCTTTATAAAGCTCAAAGGTGCAACCATTTATTATAGAAGCAAGACAGAGCAGCTCTTCCACATATTAAAAGCGTGCTCAGACTGAGATTAATGGCTACAGAGTTTGTCCTTTTAAAAACACTAAGCACTCTTGGTTGTTAACGTCTCTGTATAACTCAAGCCTGACACTTTCAATTCAATTTCCTCATCCTTCTCTTGTTTTGGGAGTCGGGACATCATTTATTTGATCCAGTGTTTTCTGAAACTTTCAATTAATTCATTCTAAATTTGTGTGCAGTTACTCATTAAATCTAATGTGATGAAGAGCTGCAAACTGAAGCAATCCATTTGGTTTAGCCCTGGGTTAGCCTCTTTCTGTGACCCAGCTAGAAGCAGACAAACCTGTCCACCTCCAACAGTCAGAAATATTCCACACATTTCTGAATTCTCCAGATTCTTGTCCAGATTCTCAGGAGTGTCACATGTCATGAGCCAGCACCTTCTGCTGTTGAGGGATTATTCACACCAACTGACAAGCTAAGGGCCAGTTTACATCTGTTTTTAACATGCATTCATGAGTCTCTTGTGATCACTTAATTTCAGATTTTAAAACTATTCTCTATTGTTTTGTCCCAATATACATCTCTTTTGCAAAATAACTCATTAAACATACAAACTTATCTAATCAAAGTAATAAACTTTCTTGTTGCAAAAGCTGAAGCTTTTATCACATATGTTGTTCACAATATTGACTTAAGCTGCAAAAAAAAAAAGATATTTTAACAGCTATAGCAACAAAAAATACTTGGTGTATTGCTATATTGCCGCAAATAACAATAAGTCATCACAGAATTAGATAGAGGTTTCTGATTATTGTTAGAACTGATTGTTGTTTTTAAATACAATAAATCCTTTATAATACAATTTGCAGTGGTGCCCATTCATTTTTTGTTTATGCTCCAAAATTTTATAGTGTTACCCAGTAAAAGAGTTAACTTTGATCCCTGCAGATGCTTTTCAGCTCTGTCTCACGCTCTCCCCAAATAAAGTTCCACATAAATTACATAAAATGTTGTCAAATACATGTATGTAGACAGCATAAGCAGGCAGTTGCGAGAGGAAACCAGACACGACCATTTAAAGAGTATCCTTGCTAGTCCTAACGAAAGGACTAAAGGACCAATTACTATGCTAACGTTATTTAAATAATAAAACGACAATCAGATTATGACGAATATCATAATGGGCATGAACTAAGAAATTCACATCAACTTAGACTAAAGCTCTAGTTTAAATTAGTTTAGTTAAATGAACTACTAAATATTGAAGCATAATTCCACAGCTTTCATGTATGTTTATAAATGGTCACACAGGATTTTCAATTATAACTAAATGTTTATGTTTCAGCATGTAGCATAGCAGATTAGCATGTGAAAATGTTAATGTTTGAACTATTAAGCTAATCTGCAAATGTAAACTGAATGTTCATAAAAACCATCCTAAAAATGTAAATAATAAATGATTATTAGCTGTATTTTTGAATATCAATATTATGCATGTTTATTATTATAATATATTGAAATATATTATTACACATTACATGGTTATAAACCCAAATGTGTTTTAAACTTGATCTGTTGGTCGAAAGTGGAGAAACTCGAAGCATTTCATATATGTTTTTCCACAGACGCTGTATTTAGCATTGTCCAGATTTGAAAGATTGAAAAATAAAAACACTATACACTACTACACTACTTTTAGCTGACAGAGAATACTAGGTGTTTTTTGTAAATAAAAAAGCTATTTTCAGTTACTTTTACAGTTTTTATTATTGGCATCATGATATATAATTTAGGTAACGTATCAAAGTCAAAACTTATATATTGTGACAACACTAGTAAATAGATCTATAAAGATCAGCAGTTCTCTACCAGGAGGATCATCTGGGATTTGCTCTCCCGAGGGCTGTTGTCATTTCAATTGTGGTCCTTTATAATGTCTTAGGCCACCATGCCCAGTTCCTCACCCCTCCCAAACTGACTCCTGACGGTGAGGCCATCTGTCCGGCCACAGAGCGCCTGTCCCGCACCACAGGACAGTGGGATGGTTCCTGTCTAATGCAATGTTTTCCACAATGCAACTTACGCTGACTACACACAGTCAGAGGCACAGGGCAAAGGCCAGATTTTTTTTTTTTCTTCTGTTTTCTTTCCAAGAATGACATGATTTCCAAAAAGCACAATCCAGCACACACTGTCCTGCTGAGAATTACAATGTTAACAGGTGTCATATCCTCAACAACCTGGTGACATAAGCAGTACAACTACTGAGGATAGCGGATTTAAAGCAGTGTCTAAATAGGCTAACTTTTAGTTACTTGCAGTTAAAAAGTCAGAATTATTAGACCCTCCGTTTATTTTTTTTCCCCAATTTCTGTTTAACAGAGAGAAGATTTCTTCAACACATTTGTAAACCTGATAGTTTTAATAACTTATCTCTAATAACCGATTTATTTTATCTTTGCCATGATGATAATATTTTACTAGATATTTTTTTAAGACACTTCTAGACAGCTTAAAGTGACATTTAAAGGCTTTACTAGGTTAATTAGGTTAACTAGGCAGGTTAGGGTAATTAGGCAAGTTATTGTATAATGATGATTTATTCTGTAGACTATCGAGAAAATAAAATAGCTTAAATTGAATAATTTTGTCCTTAAAATGGTGTTTAAAAAATTCAAAACTGCTTTAATTGTAGCCAAAATAAAACAATTAAGATTTTGTCCTTAAGAAAAAAAAAATATTATCATACATACTGTAAATATGTGATGATGAATTACATTTATTTGATGCATTGGTTTATCTAGATTTGACCAATCAGATAGGGTCTAACTGTTTTTATTCTCTACTCCTTTGCAGTTGCTGTTCTGCCATTGGCTGAAAGATGAACCCAGAGCTGAAAATAAATACTAATATCAGGAGTCGAGACGAGAGGAAAATAATGACAGGCAATTGGAAGGTTTTCAAACAATCATAGTGCTTTAAAGGCTTAATGTTCCCACCTTGACACAGTTTTTTTAGTCTGGATTAGAACTAATTACATCTAAAATATAATTTAACATGCGAGGTGGTCGTTTGGGTCAGTTGGCATTTCTGTGTGGAGTTTGCATTGTTTCCCTGCATTCGCGTAGGTTTTCTCAGGGTGCTCTGTTTTCCCCTACAAGTCCAAAGACATGCGATACAGTTGAATTGGGCAAGCTTAATTAGTCCGTAGTGTATGTGAGAATGTGTTTCCCAGTGATGGGTTGCAGATGAAAGGATTAAGTTGGATAAGTTGCCGGTTTATTCTGCTGTTGTGGCACGAAGATTAATAACGGGACTGAGCCAAAAAGAAAATGAAAGAATGAATGAATGTAATTTAACCATCTCATTTAACATTGTTAAATAAATAAATAAATAACTTATAACAATAGCATTTTTCTAGGGGAATGTTCATTATCGCAATATTCAACAACATCATATTTTAATAGTATCATAAAACCCTACTTTGGAACAAAGTGAACAAACTCTAGAATATTATATTTAGATATGATGACAGTGTAAATGTAAACTGTAGCTACAAGTCTACAAATGTAAACTGTAATTTTAAATACAACGACATCGATTGTGAAACAAGCAGCTAAAAATTGTATATGTTTTACATTACAAGATATGTTATAAACTGGTAGTCACTGAAATTGAGAAAGTTGATTTTATATTTACACATTTATTCAACAACTTTTGACACGCTTCCTATGTTATTTACCATGGCACTTTAAATATTCGGTCTGAAATAACCTGCAAGTGTGACTTGAAAACAACACTGTTTATTTGACTGCGAACAATGTTGTACTTTAATAGTCATTGGCTGCTAAGATGACTTCACTGTTTAAAGTTTGCAAATAATACTTTTATGAAATTAAATTATTAAGGAAAAAGTCAGAATGAGTGAAGAAAAAAACAGCTTTACCTCAATATCACTGACTACTACAGCTTTTTAGGATGTAAATGGCTACCAGTTTCGAACATTTTTCAAATTAACTTTTTTGTGTGTGTTTAAAAACAGAAACTCACAGTAGTTTAAATTTTTTAGTAAATTTGACCTTTTTGGTAAACTAGCCCTTGGACAGTAAGACAAATGACAACAGATGAAAATACCTGTCTGCTGAAAGTAAACAATTCAAAGACCATCCTAATATATTTGTATTAAATGTGTAGACCGTCACGCAGCGTTTGTTTGCCAAGATTTAAGACGTAAGAGCAATTACGTCAGATGACCAAATCAGAACACGACCAGGGATCATCCTTCAAAGCAAAAACATCACGAGGACCAAATATAACACTGAACATTAAGCAATAAATCTGTCCAGTAAACTACTGTAACAGAAATCGTTAAAAAAAAAAAAAAAACCCGCACGTGATTATATCATGTTGATGTTTTCTCGGCAGGCCAGCGGATGTGATCAACATTAAAAGATAAAAGTCGTTATCGAGTCAATTTTTTTAAAATGATCACTATCGGAAACATAATAAACGTCGGTGTCAATTCCTCGTTATAAACAGTTTTTTAAAGGCATTTTGGCTTTGCGCCAGCAGAAAACACCGGCACATGAAAAATCAGCTCTCGCCAACTGTTGGTCCTTACTGGCCAGATAAAAAATGACAGCTTAACATAACAGTTAAAATGGAACGGTTTACATTTTACGAGCCTCCCAGTGAACACAGCGTGTTAAATAATCAATAAAGTGTCAAACCCCAACGTTACCTTCTCATGTCCTTTTCAGAGCTCGGTGGACAGGCTCAGTTTCTCCCCTGCTCTCGAGCGGTGGCTGACAGAAATGCCAACGCGACTCCACTGATTTCCCTCTTCAGCTTCCGGTAAGATGACGACACCGCGTCTATGCGTCATTTAACGTCAGCGAAACCCTTGCGCAGTGGCGCCCCCAGAAAATTTTCTTAGGGGTGGCCAGAAGAGGCCGCACCAAATCTTGGGGTGGCACACAAAAAAAATAATGAATTCAGTGTAATGTTATATTTTTGTTTCTGGTAAATGAAACAATGTAGTTTTTATTCATTTAATTAATTCTTCTTGAAATATTGCAATTTATTCCTTAAAATAATTCAGCAAGTACATGGTCAAACCAAATAAAAATCTATGTTTAGTTTAAAAACACTTTTCATATACTGTATAAATAACTTTTTTTTTTTTACGTGCTTTTATTGTACATCATACAGTATATGCCATGTCTAAAATTAATTAAGATCAATGTGTTTATTATTCCCAGTGATGGGTTGCAGCTGGAAGGGCATCCACTGTGTAAAAATGTGCTAGATAAGTTGGCGGTTCATTCTGCTGTGGTGAGCCTGGATAAATAAAGGGACTAAGCCGAAAAGAAAATGAATGAAAGAATAATGTTTATTAATTACCCAAACAAATGAACAAGCTGAACAAAAGGCATTACTATATACACACTCACTATACCTAATAATATTATTTATCCATATTGCTTTTTGAGCCATTTAATGCAGCTTCTTCTATTGATATACTGTAGCTTAAGGTAAATATTAAATTGCCATTGCTGTCAATTGAAGGTGTGTGCGTGTTGTGTACGACGATCAGGGAGGGTAGTGGTGGTTCTAGTTTAAATGACACCCTGGGCGAACCACCCTATACACCCCCCACCTCTCTTGAATTGTTAGATTTGTTATTCAATAAATATAACAATTTATTTATATTTATTCTAAATAAATACAATTAATATTAATATACAATTATTATTCTAAATAAATAACAGAAATCAGTCCTAAATATAACTGGAAAACAACAACTGGAGTGATATGCCAAGATCCCTTAAGAAACCTTTTGCATGAAAATTAATTATGACAATTCTAAAGAATACAAAAAATGTATTATAGAATATCTGTGGTCTTGGACCAGATCATGGCTGAGAAATCATGTTATGAAGTCTTACCTCCCTGACTCATTATCCCTCCTTTCTGCTTTAAAGGCATGCTTAGTGAAAGTAACATCATCATCCTCATCATCATCATTTTGTATGAACTTTAGTCGACTTTCAAAACTCGCTGCGTGCCGACACCTCTGCACAAAAGGCTGTTACTCCGGTTGCTCGACGCATGAGCGGCGCGTATTTTGTCGGCGGGCATGCAAACAACCAACCGGGATTCACACAGGAGTGCGTGAGGTGCGCGGGAATGGTTTTCTCCGCACATGCGTCAGTTTGCTTTCACCAGCATTGAACCAGAGGGGGAGAGCTACGTCAGTAACACCAACAATAATATAGTGACTGCATTTTATTTATTTATTTATTTAAATATTGGGAATTTATAAGTTCATTTAAATCAATAATGTCAACAGCAAAATTATATTGGGGTGACCAAAGGGGTGGCCACAGGGGTGGCCAGAGTTTACCGAGGGGTGGCCGTGGCCACCCCTGGCCACCCCTTGGGGGCGCCCCTGCCCTTGCGAAGCACGTTCTTATTATTTTGTACAGTCTATATGATTATGTTACTGCAAGGTTCATGTAAACGGAGACCATCAGCTAAAAAGGATAAACAAGAAAAAGATTGGCAACTCGTCGTGAGCCATAATTGATTAAATATCCTTTATAAATCAAGCCACACGGTGGCGCGTCAGGTCTCCAGTAGTAGAATATTTACTATCCGCCAAGATTTTATTAGACTGAGATTAATTCATTCATTTTCTTTTCGGCTTAGTTCCTTTTATTAATCCGGTGTCACCACAGCGGAATGAACTGCCAACTTATACATCATGTTTTTACACAACGGATGCCCTTTCAGCCGCAACCCATCTATGGAAAACAACCATTCACACTTATACACTACAGACAATTTAGCTCACCCAATTCACCTGTACCGCATGTCTTTGGACTCTGGGGGAAACCGGAGCACCCGGAGGAAACCCACGAGAACGCAGGGAGAACATGCAAACTCCTCACAGAAACGCCAACTGACCCATCCGAGGCTCGAACCTGCGACCTCCTTGCTGTGTAACAGCACTACCTACTGCGCCACTGCATTATCATCATCATCATCATCATCATAAGGGTCTAATACTACTACTACTACTAATACTAAAAATTATAATAATCATCATCATCACAATCATCATCATCTTCATCATAATAGGGTCTAATAATACTAATAATAATGATAATAATAATAATAATAATAATCATCCTCCATTATAAGGGTCTAATAATACTAATAATAATGATAATAATAATAATAATAATAATAATAATAATAATAATAATAATAATATAATAATAATCATCATCATCATCATCAAATAATAAGGTTTAAGATTATAATAACAACAACAACAATAATAATAAAAATAATAATAATAACCCTTATCATCATAATAATCATAATTGAAAAAGATAAATTGGCCGAAGTGTGTGTGAAAGGGTGTGTATGGGTGTTTCCCCAGTGCTGGGTTGCGGCTGAAATGGCATTTGCTGCGTTAAACTAAGCCGGAAAGAAAATGAATGAATGAATAATAATAATAATAATAATAATAATAATAATAATAATAATAATAATAATAATAATAATTTAACAAAAATATTAGCCTAATATTATTATTTTTGTTATATTATTATTATTATGATTGTTATTATTATTATTATAGGCTACATGACACTTAAAGTAGTAGAAATGCGGTTCGTTTACAACAGAACTTTTTCCAGTTCTCTCTCTCTCTCTCTCTCTCTCTCTCTCTCTCTCTCTCTCTCTCTCTCAACAGATCTAGTTTTTCAACATTTTCTTTGTGTGACAATGGCCGTGTCGTCACTATCGTCTGCTTGTCATCTTAAGGGAGTATCAGTTACCTGCGCCAGAGTGTTTGTGTGTGTTTCCGCGGGCTGTTGTTGTTTATTAACCGCGCGCTGCGGCATCTCAAATCCAGCTGATCGAGCGCATCCAGGCGGGGAGTTCTTCACCCGGAGACAGGCATGGATGAGGAGGCTCAGGACAGCGAGTGTCCCGTCTGCTACGAGAGCTTCTCGGACAGCGCCAGGACGCTCAGTTGCGGCCATCACTTCTGCCATGACTGCTTAGTGCGAACATTAGTGAACACCAGCCTGAACGGGACTAATAAACGGGATAACATCATCTGTCCCGTCTGCAGACACCTGACATTCATCACAAAGCAGCACGGATTTACAGTTTCAACCACAGAATCCAAAAGACTTGGAAAGACTTTGGAAGTGCCATCAGCGCCCACTCCTGAATTGAGGAACACTGCTGGGTCTCATACCGGAGGTCTGGAATGTATCTGCTGGTGTCTAAGAAGGATTTCATGTAGACTGTGTAGACGACAACTGGTCTGTCCTAAAGACGCCTCAGAGGTGTTTATTATAAGTGAATTGGGACGACCCATGGCAGAAGGGGACATTATCGACAATGGGACGACGTCAGGGACACAGCAAGACTACAGCAGCAATGGACAGAGGTTTTGCACCATCTCCTGCTGGCTTCTCGTCCTAATGATCTCTTTCACATTACTGGCACTGGTGGCTGCCACTCTTCCATGGGTTTTGTTGGCGTAAAGAGTCCAGAACTGCCCATGTGGACCAATTTAAAGGGATTAATCAAGCAAAAATGAAAAATATGTCATTACTCACCATGTTTGAAACCTGAGTTTTTTTCAGATGTTTCGAAAAATGTTGGTTGGCTTCCAGAGTACTTTTTGTTTTACTATTGATATCGATGGGTGCCAGCAACCAGCATTTGTTAAAATATATTATTTTGTGTTCAGCTGAAGAAAGAAACTCATATAGGTGTAAAACTAAGAGTATATGATGAGGTGATGTACGTTTTTGGATGAACTATCTCTTTAAAAGTACAGTAGTATATATTAACACACACTTTCTCAGGTGTCACTGGAAAAAGAAATGTATCGACTGGTTTCGCAAGTCACAATGAATGTTTTATGAAGAACAGGCGGTTATTTTGCGACCAGTTCCGAGGCTTGTTCTGGCTTGTCTTTGGGAAGGGGGAGACTTGTGGAAGTTATGAAACAAACACAAATGGATAGTTTCACTGTATGGATGAATAGAGAGATCTTGAGATTGACACTTGCAGTTACTGTGAGGAAACAGAGTGGTTTAAACTTGGAGAAGCTAAGATGAGACCGTCTGGTGTCACTCGATCTTGGAGAAACACTGTGGGATTGGATTTCATTTGCTATGGACACTGACGTTTGAGAATGGAGAAAGGGAAGGGTGTCATGAGGCTTCACTTTGGTTTTTTGTTTTCTTCAGCTCGCATTGCCTGGAAGGATCAATACACACCCTCGCTCGTCCAGAAATTCTTGTCACACAGGCTAGCAAGCTAGTTTCAGCCCAGAAATGATTAATACCTCACATTCTGCACAAGTTAACACTGATGACTTGATTGGAGTGTGCTTCTGTGACATACTTGAGGAGGAATGCTTAGAAATCTCCTGCTTTAGGAGAAGTCCGATAATTGACTGGAGTTTTATTGCTCTGTGTGATGACCAATGGATCTCTCAGGTTTAATTTTGAGGTTGTCTCAGATGTTTTCTTTGGTCATAAAGCTTATCAGGAGAAATGTTATTAAGGTGCAGTCACAGTTACTCTGTTTTTTGTGAATATTCTGGTGGAATTCAGAAGCTTGCAGAAAAGCCTATTTAATTTCCATCGTTTTATTTCTTCGCTCGTTCCAGACTGTTTTTTTCCCATTCATTTTTTTTTTATTTGTGGCCTTGGAGCACAAAACTAGTCAAAAGTAGGGGAGCGCGGCGCACAAAGTAACGCGGGGTTAAATGTAACACAGAGTTTTAAGGTATTTGCTTAAGGTTAACCATGACATGCTTCCGAGGTTTTCACCACAGTGTCAGCAGACATATTCCTGCCAATTATTGAAAAAATTTGGCTAAATTTGCATGAGAAACACAGGAGAAAGAATTTTTACAGTATAAAAGGATTTTTTTTGTTATAGAGTTGATATATATATATATATATATATATATATATATTTAAATCTGTGAAAAAATGATAGTAAAATCTGATACTGTTGTGATCACCGTCTTCTTGACTAAAAGATGAAACCATTTTGAAAGACGTAAAAAGTAACTGCTAGCCAGTTTTGAGGAAAAAATGACACAGCGGGGTTAGTTAGAACAGGGTGTTACAATTAAGCCACATGTTGGACACCACCTAAAATAACAAAATATTTTTGGGAATTTTGAGTGTAATGTTGAGAACTTTTTAAATAAAAATGTTTTTGTAAATAGAAAATATTGTTTTATTAGAAAAAAAAAATATTTTATTGCTAATAATGCAAATAAATGCATTTTATAATAATGGATAAATGGATAATAATGCAAATAGATTCGTCTGTGTTCATCCAATAACCAAATAAATACATAAACATACTGCGCTATGTAGAATAAAAAAGAAATGAGCCAGGTACTAAGGAAATAGCTACTATTTAAAGTAAACTGAATTGAAATTAATTGTGCGAAATCTGCCTGTATAAGCATGTGTTAGAACTAACCCAAGGTGCCCTTGGGTTAAAAAAAAACTTGCAACTTACCCTGCAGGTGGGGTAAGTTGTAACATTTTTACTCCTGGGACTTTTGGCAATACTGCACAGAAACCATAGGTCTGGCGATCATAATTCCAGTGCTCATTTGTAAGAGAGGCTTGTGTGTTGTTGGTATAAAAATATGGTTTGTCTAACCCGATTACTTTGTTCATTATTTGACCAAAACCAAAAAGTGTTACTTTGTGCCCTGCTCTCCCCTACCTTTTTTGTTGTTGTTGACAGTAGAAATATTTGATAATCTGAAATCTGAGGTTTCAAAAACAATCAAAATAATGAGAAAATCACCTTTAAAGTTGTTCGAATTGAGTTAAGCCATGCATATTAGCAGACAGCTAGCTCACAGTACACTGTAAAACCCAAACAGTAACTCAAACCATTTGAGGAAACCAATTGTGACAAACCATTTAAGTTCAAAAAGTAATCATGTGTACTGTAAACTTAATTCATTTGGGTACACCAAGCAATATGAGCACAGTAAAACCCAATAAATTAAGAGAACTCAAACCAACTGAGTACTGTAAAACCCAATAAGTTAAGGCAACTCAAATCATTTGAGGAAACCGATTGCTACAAACCATTTGAGTAAAAAACAAATCTATATGAATACTGTGAACTTACTCTATTTAGGTTGAAGTAATGAGGTATTTCATTACCTCATTACCTTCAACACTGTGTTTAAAACTCTTTTCAAACGAGTAGAATTAACTTTCAGTCAATTTTGAGTTAACTACATTCGTTTAATTTGTTTAAGTTGACTGTTGGGTTCAGTGTTGGAAATTTCCAAAATCTCTTTATGTAATATGATCTTATACTGTACTCAATATTGTAATCACCTTTAAAGTTGTGCGAATTAAGTTGTTAGCAATGCATATCAGCAGACAGCTAGCTCAGTAGGAAATTTACAAATGTCTTCAAGCTTGATGATTTTTAGCAAAAGGCACAAAAATCTATTTTTGACCCACACAATGTATTTTTGGCTATTCCACAAATATATGTCCTTGTTAAATCATAAAATAGCAATAGCATCATGATTAACGTAGTTTGTTTACTAAATATTTTACACTATTTCCACTATAAAACTCTACAAAGTTGAACTAATTTGAACAAATGCATTTAACAAAACCGCACAACAAACACCGATTAACAATCTGGGGTGCGTTTCCCAAACAACAACGTAACTCGAGGCTGAACTATCATAGTATGATGCATCATCTGGGAAAAGAACGATGCAGTGATGAGTGTTTTCAAAAACCTGTAGTTTCTCTGTCGCAGATCCATCGTTTGAACCCATTAGTTATAATGTAAAACGCCCATAATGATGTTCTAAACGGGGTAGAGTAACAACTTCTTTAAAAAAGAACCCTATAATTTTTTGTGCAGATTATATTGTTTCATTAGGACATTATATATGATACTCTAAAACATAAAATCATTTCCAAAAGCTAACAAGTATTCTAATATAATATATCAATCATATATGAAATATATAATGAGACTATTTATTAAGAAATTAAATCTAATATGTATTATTTATTAGTTAATGAAAAAAATGTATAGTAGGTTATTTATTAAGTATCTGTACTGTATATGACATAGGCCTGTTGGTTAAAGCATATGCAGTGGTTTACATGTGTCAAATTGTAAAAGTAGACTATTACAAAACACAAAAAACAAACAAAAAAACAATATCCTATATAATAATAATAATAATAATAATAATAATAATAATAATAATGACGATTATTATTATCATTATTATTATTATGTAGGATATTGTTTTTTTTGTTTTTTGTTTTTTTTTGTAATAGTCTACTTTGACAATTTGACACATGTAAACCACTGCATATGCTTTAACCAACAGGCCTATGTCATATACAGTACAGATACTTAATAAATAACCTACTATAAATTAAGACCATTAAAATATGCTGTTTTTTTATTTTCAAAAGCTTTTAGTAACATAAATTACACTTTTAAATAATAGGTCTTTCGCCATGAGCCACGACAGTGTTCCAAATGGCATCAATGTTTTCTAAGTGCACTGCGTAGGGAGCGTAAATGTAAACATGTAGATCGCTAAAACTAAACTGTAAAAATGCTTTGAAAGCAAACTACAATTAAGAGTGATGACTTTAATACTTTATTTGACATAATTTCAAGTTTAAATGTTAATGTTCTAAATGAATAGGGCATAGGGGGGATAACTGGTAATGCAGCTCAGCCAGGAACTATGTAACTACAGCTCCAGAGGTGTAGTTGCAAGCAAGTTTGCGACTGAATTTGCAAATGTTTGTTGGAACGACGGATTTGGGAAATGTCAAATCAATGAACTATGTGTGTAACGACACAACTTGTGACCTTAGTTTTCTAACTATCATTTTCAGAAACGCACCCCTGAACAACATGCCTGTTTTTAAAGATTTATGAGTTATTAGTTTAACATCTATTTCCCCTATGGAGAAAATGAATAGAGTTTTCACTTATGAAACCCAATTTGCTTGCTTTGACTGCCTGATTTGTGCATCGTGAGTACAGCATCATGGGTAATGCATTTTTTTTTCGCTAAGTGCATTTTTAAGTGTTTATGATTTACCTGAAATGTTGCTAATGGGATTTTACACATTCAGAAATAAAGGTACGAGAGCTTTCACAAGGGCTGTATCTTTTCAGCTGGTACATATTTGTATACCAAAATAGTTCATGTTAAATTTTTGAAGTGTGTAAATTAGTACCTAAAAGCTAAAAAAAAAAAAAAAAGGCTGCCTTAAATCTTTAAAGTTGAATAAACTTAACCTTCCTACATGAAAAAGAAAATACTATAATAATTTATAGTAAATAGTTTTTGAGCCATGCTATTGAATAAATAATGGTAAAACAACAACTAGTTATATAATACTGTATAGAACAAAAAAAAAAAAAAAATGACCCAATACTCTAGTTTTCTACAACTGCAAGAAAAATTAAGCTACAATACACC